AAATACGCAGGTATTTGGTGTTCTATGTGTTTATGTATGTAGAATGCTGGACTGACTGTTCTCAATGTGTGTGATGTAAATGTGGATGTGTATGGTGATGCCAAAACAAAAATGTTCATCCTGGATGGACAATTATATATTCTATTCTATTGTAGGTTTCGGCACCCAGGGGAAACAATCCCACCACTGGGGAAGAGGTGGTGGGAAATGTTCAGGAGGAGGCACAAGAACCTGAGCATGAGGAGGCCGGACACCCTGGACAGGGGGAGAGCTGAGTGTGCCACACGTCCGACGATGGACGCTTTTACTTCTTATGAGAAGCACTTGAAGGAGAGTGGGGTGAGGGAGAAACCCAGACAAATCTATAACTGCGATGAGTCTGGGTTTCGTAGCGACCAGAGCAGGCACAGTGTACCAGCAGGCTCCGAGGACCAAGGAGCACATCGCAGTGCTGGCCTGCTTCAACGCAGCTGGGGAGGACGTCCCCCCGTTTATCATCTACCCCAAGTGTTTCCCCGGTGGCCACTACACACTGGGAGGCCCCCCTCCCCAAGCCTTGTATAGACGGTCAAACAGTGGCTACATTGATGGGGACCTGTTCAGGAAGTGGTTTCAGCACTTCATTAAGCATGCAGTAAGGAACGCCCTCTCCCGGTCAGGCAGCGCACTGTACGGCCGATGCCTTGGTGACCAGAGGAGGGGGACGTGTGTGCCCAATAGATAAGACGATCACGGACTAGACGGCACGTACCGCAGCCCAGCTGGGCACTGAGGTGGAGATGGCTCTGTGCGTAACGCCTGCTCTATGTCCACGTCCACCGCCCACACTACCGGCGCCACAATGCAGGAGGCCTGGAGTATGGGGTGTTGTCTATGGGCCTCTCCTCTGTGTCATACAGCCGTGACAGTGCGTCTGCCTTCACGTTCTTTGTGCCTTGTATATAGGACAGCGTGAAATCAAACTGGGTGAAAAACAAGGCCCACCTGTCCTGGCGAGGGTTCAGCCTCCTCGCTGCCCGGATATACTCCAGGTTACGGTGGTCAGTCCAGACAAGGAAAGGGTGTTTCGCCCCCTCGAGCAAGTGCTCGAGAGGAGGCAGCTTCGGAGGAAGTCGTGACATGCGAACTGGTTTATTGCAGTAGTTACCAAGAAAGGCTAGTGCCTACCGTACCCAATAAATGACAGCAATAGGCTAATGATAATGATTTTACCTTAAACTAAATACGGAACACACAATTCAAAAGACAGATCAAACTTAATTTAGCCAATGAAAATGTCTCAACAGAATTAAACAAAACATGTTTTGCATAGGCTATTTAAAGAACCGGTTTAGATTAATAAAAAGGCCTAGAATAACAACAATGATATACAATAATGATAATGATATGTGGAAATCCCCCAAAATGCGGATGCTCAACTGTATGCTACGCAAATGCATTATAGAATGCATTTGCATAGCCGTTTGTTACCAACATGGAGGCTAATTGCAGAACTTCTGGTAAATGTGTCATACTGACTGTCTTCCTGTATAGCTGCTGCCTAGTGCAAGAGGAATTTGCTTTGCTCTTGGAAACTCTGTTTCCAGGGTAGAGGGAGTTTGACTCCCTCTACCCTGCTCTATAGCTGCTTAACCAACTTACACAACATCTATTATATATTACAAAACTGGCCTTTTTTAGTCACAGTATTGGGAAATGGTTCAATTTATACTGCTTGTGAGTTTGTGCGTGCGCGCATCTGTGTACTGTATATGGGTCATTCTATAGAAGTGTTGCAAATTGGGTGTTAAAAAATAAATACAAAATTCCCCAAACATTATTCCTCCTCCACCAAACTTTACAGTTGGCACTGCATTGGGGCAAGTAGCGTTCTCCTGGCATCCGCCAAACCCAGCTTTGTCCATCAGACTGCCAGATAGTGAAGCGTGATTCATCCCTCCCGAGAACGCGTTTCCACTGCTCCAGAGTCCAATGGTGGTGAGCTTTACACCACTCCAGCCGACGCTTAGCATTGCGCGTGATGATCTTAGGCTTGTGTGCAGCTGCTCGGCCATGGAAATCAATTTCATGAAGCTCCCGGCAAACAGTTATTGTGCTGACGTTGCTTCCAGGGGCAGTTTGGAACTCGGTAGTGAGTGTTGCAAATGAGGACAGATGATTTTTAAGCGCTACGCGCTTCAGCACTCAGCGGTCCCTTTCTGTGAGCTTGTGTGGCCTACCACTTGTTGCTCCTAGACATTTCCATTTCACAATAACAGCACTTACAGTTGACTGGGGCAGCTCTAGCAGGGCAGAAATTTCACCAACTGACTTGTTCGAAAGGTGGCATCCTATGCCGGTGCCACTTTGAAAGTCTCTGAGCTCTTCAGTAAGGCCATTCTACTGCCAATGTTTGTCAATGGAGATTGCATGCTGGTGTGCTCGATTTTATACACCTGTCAGCAACGGGTGTGGCTGAAATAGCCGAATCCACTAACTTGAAGGGGTGTCCACATACTTTTGTATACATAGTTTATGTCAGGTAGACACTTTATATACTACTCACACACTTAGTTGGTATTGCATATTTGAAACATTTACCTGAATTCCTTTCCACCCCACTAAATTTGTCACTGCAGAAACATAGTGGGAAAAGTTGCAATTATTTGTATACCAAATTAACAAAATAGTAAAAACATGACTTTCAACCAGACTTTTAAAACCTTTCAATTTAATTTAGTGGAATATTATCTCTATTGTTCTCTGTAAAATGTTAAATTTTGATTGTATGAATCTGAAACGTGTTGATTGATTGAATTACTTATGCATCTAATGAATTATCACTCTACCTGTCTTTATTTTGGCAAAATAACAGGTGTTTCTGTGTCGAGTGTCAATCTTAGAGTTAAATGGAGGATATTACTTCATTTAGTATTTACATTGCCATTGAGGGCTTCATTTAAATGTAGTCAACTGGGTGGGGATTCCTGTGGGTTGGGAGTGTTTAGCCAATGATCAGAGAGCATTTCCTTCTTCAAATTGGGTTTCCAGGAGCCAAGACCAAGATTTATACCAGGACATTGGTCCCAAGAAAGACCCAGTCCCAGTGAGTTGAGACCATGACAACTTAAAGACCGAATCTTAAGACCACTAGATCAAGAGTCCATTGTAAGAAACTCAAGTAGAGTAAACTCGAGTCCTCTGTAGCTCAATTGGTAGAGCATGGCGCTTGTAACGCCAGGGTAGTGGGTTCGATCCCCAGGACCACCCATACGTAAAAATATATGCACACATGACTGTAAGTCGCTTTGGATAAAAGCGTCTGCTAAATGGCATATTATATATTATATTATTATACAGTACAGTATATTAGAGAAGAGTACAGTAGAGTAGGGTACAGTATAGTAGAGCACAGTAGAGTACAGTACAGTAGAGCACAGTTCAGTAGGGTACAGTAGAGCATTGTATAGTAGAGTAGGTGACAATACAGTATAGCACATTATAGACGTCTGCGTTTTGGCCAAATAGATGTAAATGTTTGGGCTCTTGGAAGGTTGGAGCCCCCCTGCTGCCTATGTATCTCAATACTCTACACTTTTTCCTGATGTGTGCACTTGTCCACTACCCAGATGGTGGTCCTCAGTTGGTAGAGCATGGCACTTGCAACTTTAAAATGGAGATAGCCTCAATGGCGCTGCCCGTGCCGTCACAGGCTCCATAATGGCACAGATACAAAGATGAGACCTCTATATATCTCTATGGTGTCAATTGTTTTGGTTGTGACCATTTCAGTTTAGACAATTTTTACTTATTTGGGACTTTAAAGAATCCCCATAGCTAACATATGGCTGGCTATCTTTCATTTGGACAGATGTACATCCCAGCAAACATATAGCCTATTTTAGTCCCAAAACCATACTTTACATATTTATTGATATATTAGATGTCCGGTAGTTACACTTCTTAAAAATGCATGAAGATTTGCCAACTTGCTCACTAATTTTCTCAAAAATGTTTGCAGACAGACTACTCACCATGTGGCCATAGTCGAGATGGGTGCAAACCCATCACCTGGTGATATTTGTAGGGGTGTGGTTTAAGACACATTCATTCTACAGTCTTTTAATGTGTGTGTTTCAGTAGTGACATCAGAAGGTGGGACAGCATTTTTTTAGAGAAAGATGTTTAAAAATTAACAAAACTACTAATTACATCAGTATCTTTCAATATAATAATAAAACAACTCAAGATGTTCTATTGAAATAATAGTGTTTAAAAAAAAAAATGCATTCATTGCTTTATTTTCAAACATTAAGTTTAGGAGTCAGAGTGTGGGACAGCCACCTCTCAATAGAAATAGGTGTATAAACAAGGACTTTGTACTATATTGATTGAACAATACGTTTGCTATTGCCTTGGATTGAATTAGAACATATCAGCATGTAAATAAATGCCCTGAGTTTTTTTAATAGTTTTTTGGGGGTGGGACTACAATTTACACCAGAATCAACCATATACGTAATTGAGCAATTACATCACTTTGATTTTCAGGAAGACATTTGTCGCCTCATATATGAAATGAAAACACCCAGAGGTGACGGTTGTCAAACTGGGGTCTTTGTTCAGTGCTAATGATGCTAGACTGTTGCTTATTTTACCTAACACACTTTCAAGGTAAGCAGAGATTTATACTAGATATTGTGAACTATTGCTAATGTAAGTAATTCAGTATAGTAGCTGATGTAGTTTAAGCATGGTGAATGTGGTTATTCAGGGAAGGTTGTATTGTCTAAATCTTTTCGATTCTAGGATTAAGCATGGGTTAAAGCTTCCATTTGCTCTTCTCCGGCTGTGTGTCTTGGCAGTGAGCTGTAGTGGGAGAGTGGCAGGCAGTGTGTGTGTGCGTGCGTGTGTATGGTTTGCTGACTGGGGTTTAGTTATGGTTAGACTAACAACCCTGTCAGTAGTTGTGGAAATAAAAATGCTGGCTCAGATTTATCAAGCCACTGTAGGAGCAAGGAATGGCCGTAGATGCACAGACTCTGAGGATGGGGTCTGGGGTGCGTGTATGAGTCCAGTCAGATTTCACAGTGGTGTGTGAGATCCCCTCAGTTCATTGTTCATTGTTCATGTGTTTGAAACAGTGACCTATACTGGATATGACTGGTTTGTGGAAAAATGCATGAAGTATTGGATTATTTGTTTTTTAGCATGGCTGGATTTATTTATCTTCTTCAGTATCAGCGTGAGATGTTTTAGGCTAGAGGATGTTATGTGAGTTTGGCGTCTCTTCTGGTTTGTTTTGTCTGAATGGGTATTTCTGTGTTGCTTTTCTTTTCTCTTTCCTTGTAGTCTTGGCCAGTCATTAAAGGGGAAGTGGCTCTTCTGAGGAGAGGGTGGACACATACACACACACACACACACACACACACACACACACACTGGGAGGTGACTAACATTTTCCCAGCTCCTGAGTCTGCAGGAATGAGTGAAAAGTAGTCTCACGCAAATACAAGAAATGTACACACACTCTCACTCTGTTTCATTTTTTTCTCAATTTGGTTGCTTCTATCACTCTATCCCTCTATCCCTCATCACTGATCATTCTCCCGTCTTGCTGTGCTGTAGCTGATCGACTCGTTTGCCTGGGAGATCGGGACTCTGAAGAGGGAGATGGTGCAGAAGGCTGAGCCAGCAGAGAGAGACCCAGAGCCTGTCATACTACAGGGGTAAGTGTGTGTTAAAACTGACAGACAAACTGACTAACAAAATTGTTCTTTCTGTACATCCGTTTACTCTAGTAGTAGTATGATGAGAAGACTTGCTTCAGCCTCTTCATGGGCTGATGTAAAACTAACTTTAGCTGTGCATGTTAGAGGGAGAGGAAACGGTGGAAGACATTCAAACAGTGATTGTCTCCTTAAGGAAGGAGTAGAATTCCCTTTCAGACCTCTGTTGTTTGTTCAAATGTAGTAACAACAGTTATTGAATTCATTGTTACTGGATGTTTGATAAGAATGATTGATGAGGATGATGATGATAATGATGAGTATGAAAAAAGTATGAAAATGTATGCACTCACTAACTGTAAGTCGCTCTGGATAAGAGCGTCTGCTAAATGACTAAAATGTAAAATGAGTGGTGGTTTGAGTAACATTGATTTAAGTTCCACTGTAATTTCCTGTGTCCACCAGCAGGTGTGGATAGTGTGCCCTGGTCATTCACGTAGCTGAGTTTCATCATGTCATTGTGTTGACGGGATGTCAGAGGGATCTATGTTAGGACTGACAGTGGAAAGAGTATCAGGGATTTTCAAAGTGAACACCAAGCATATTAGTGTAAATTAGATAATGGGTTACAAGTTACCTGACATTAGGTACATAATAATGACATGTAGATTATAATAAAATTATACCCAGTATCAGCTTCATTTTGAAGATTGTTAAATATTAGTGCTGAGCGATTAGTGTTTTTTGAGGTAGTTTCGGTTCGATTAAAAAAGATAATCACGGTTTTCGGTTTCAATTTATTTTATTTTTTTACATTAAATGCATTGTGCATTATTTACATCTTAGTCATTTAGCAGACGCTCTTATCCAGAGCGACTTACAGTCGCGAGTGTATACATTTTCATACTGGTCCCCCGTGGGAATCGAACCCACAACCCTGGCGTTGCAAGCGCCATGCTCTACCAACTTATTATGTGGGTTGAATGCTGTAACAACACCGAATACAACAATTAATAAAAGTCCCATGATGGTGGTGACTGCCCATTACTGCTTATCACTTATTAACCATCATTTATTCATATTACTTTACTTGAATAAAGTATTTCAGTTGTTGTGTATATTACATTTGTTCTATTTGATGACTTTATTATTTCATTCCAAGTCATCATCTCATCTCTATAGAGCTGCTGCCTATGTGGTCTGACAAAATCACTATTTTGTAGTTCTTCAAAGTAAATAAGGCATATTTTTATGACTGCTGAATACAACTATCAATCACTTAGATCAGGGATGGGCAACTCTGATGGGGGTGTGGGCCCCAAAAAAACTGAACTCATCATGAGGGGCCGCAGTGGCTCGTGGGTCTGCGTACCCAGCACCCATTTCTGAAGATGTATGAGTGGTGAGGGATACGGGCCTCAGTAGGTGTGCTTGCTTTGCGTCATTTCATTGTTAGATGTTGTTGGGTACATTGGTCCTTCTACACTGAAGTACTGTTCCTCCTGGGCCATTATACATATAGGGGATTTGAAAGGTATATTTCTAATAAGGTCTCTTCCTCTCCCTCTCTCTCTCTCTCCCTCTCTCTCTCCCTCTCTCTCCCCCTCTCTCTCCCCCTCTCTCTCCCCTCTCTCTCCCTCTCTCTCTCCCTCTCTCTCTCCCTCTCTCTCTCCCTCTCTCTCTCCCCCTCTCTCTCCCCCTCTCTCTCCCCCTCTCTCTCCCTCTCTCTCAGGCTGGATGGGGAGGTGGGAGGTCTGTTCCTACAGGCTCGTCCCTGTGTTGGTGTGGGGGCTCGGCTGGCTGGAGCTAGGGATTCAGGCTACGACTCTTTGTGTAGAAGGATGAGTGTGCTGGACAGGCTGGTGCAGACGCACGTTGTGTGGCTGCAGCTGGGACTTAGCCATGCAGACTCCACAAGCATGCTGGAACCGCAGCCCACCGGGGTGAGATGAGATACACTCAGTCATTATTTTTTTTATTCTCAGAAGAACTGATTGTGAAACAGGAGTTGCTCAAGTTTTACATTGCGTTTCCATGCATAAAGCTTACACTGTCTTACAAGATAATCAATGATACATCTCATCTCAGTACACAGTAGTTTAGAATTGTATCTCACCACTCAACCATCACATTCTGATCACTTATTTTAAAAAATGGTTATCCTTTATTTAACCAGAGAGGTCACATTGAGATTTACATCTCTTTTAAAACAGCAGACATAGTCAACACAAGATAAAACATCTCACACGGCTGTTTCATTCCATTTAAAGAGCAGAGACATTTATTTGACAGCCATTTCCGTGTAGGTAATAGGAGGAATAAAGAAAATAGTTTTAGGTGCATCAGTTACTTGACCCTACCATTACACTCCTATTCATGCAACAACAACCTCACAATACTCAAAGACACCCTTACAATCTCACACAATGGAGGACTAATTGAGACGTATACTTCCGAAGTGTCTGATATTCTCCATTTCAATGTTTTTATTGTTGTTGTCTGTGTTTCTCAATGTGCTTTTTTACCCTGGCTGCAGACGTTTCTGGTGAGGAAGTCGACTACCCTGCAGAGGAAGGTGATCTCTCTGCGTATGCATCAGGATTCTGAGACACCCGTCAAAGACTTCCCTGTGAAGGAGAGTCAATACAGTAAGCACCTGGCCTGTTCATTCCCATCGATTATGGATCTTTATCATCCAAATGTATCCCGCATATACCTGTGTTATTATAAACTTATTCTCAACACAAAAAATAACAATTTTCCTCTGATCATTTGAATATTATTTTCTATTGTATTCATTTTGCTCTCTGTGCATTTCCCTTTCGGTTTTTCCCCCTCCTAAATCAACACGTGCTGATGTGCTACTGTCACAGTTTACCGCTGTCTAGTACAATATGTGACATCTCTCTACCTGGGCCTCAACATTCTCTACTTAAATGCGGAAGACATATTTCAGTTGAACGCATTCAACTGACTAGGTATCACCCTTTCACTTACCTTTCCCTACTCTGAGGTCAATGCCGAGAGCATTTGGAGTTTCCCAAAAACCTATTTCCCAATACTTACCTAGTGAAAGTAGTTATGTGTTATGCAGTTAAGAGTCACACAAAAGCTAACCTTAAACAAGGCTTAATATAGCCACATCTTGTTGATGTTCTTGAAGTGAATAGGAAAATCTTATTAGGCTATTTGTTGGGTGTGCTGGCCCAGAAAATGGCTGACCAGGTATTTTTCCCTTTCTTTCCTAATGCGATGTAGCCTGGTAAGTGTGATGGCCTGTTGCAGCTTGTAACTGCTTGTATGTGTACCAAATGCCTACTAGGCGTAGACACACCCACTCAGCCATGCCAGCCTGCCAAGAAAACAGATGTACCCTTCTCCTGCAAAAACCCAATGAGCTATGCAATTAACTTGTGATTTTTTTGGGGCCATGCAACAATCATGTTGTTGGAGAGGAGTAAAATTGTCTATACTTAGACGCTACTCTTGGGTCAGTTTTGTTTTTCCCGCCTAACTCCTACATAGAGTACTGTTTAATGCAGCAAAAGTCAAGTGTCCATGCTAGAATGTGCAAATGTAAAGCATATTCAATTTGGACACGTTTTCACAGTGCACAGCAGAGTTTGACATCCTGTTGCTCTTCTCAAGCTCAGAGATCGTCCAAGTTGACCATATGTAATGGAGCTCAGAGAGTGTACAGATGGGGACTGCTCTGTGCTCGCTGGCCTGCTGCCAGATGGCATACAGTATATGTCTGGATTTAACCCACTTCCCCAATGACCCGTTAAATGTAAACACAATTTCTCTCTCCCCCTCCCTCGCTCCATCTCTGCCTCTCTTTCTCTCTGTCCATCTCTGTCTCACATCCTCCATACCCCCCCATCTTAATTCAAATGTAAATTCTCTCTCTTTCTCCCTCTTTCTGTCCATTTCTCTTTGGGTCACGTTTAGCCCACAGAGGGGAGGGGAAGGGAGACCAGGAGAGGGTGGAGCAGTGCTGTGGACTGATTGTATACAGTTACCTTTGGGTGTCTGGCGCTTTGTGCCTTGGCAAATAAAATAGCAAGCCTCCAGATGTGTACTCAGTTTTCTTTCTTAGTAGAGTGACCCAAATATGTGAGCAACAGTTAGCTACTCGCGATGATAATGCTACTGGTGTGTATATAGTATGTCTTTTGAAGTTCCAAAGTGAAAACATCACTCCAACTCCCTTCTCCCATCTAGGAATGTGGCCATGCTTTTGTTCTGATTATGCGAATACAGCTTTGCTCCTGATTGAAGTATGAAAATATCTCTTAGTTCCCTAAATATAAATCTATCCCTTCACAGCATTCTCCTTGGAGGGATCGGGCCTCAGCTTCGCAGACCTGTTCCGTCTTGTGGCCTTCTGCTGCATCAGCAGGTAACACACACACACTACCTCAAGAAATACTACATTTCTCATCCTAGTTATAAATCACCTATTCCTTTGAAGAGGAACACATGGAGCCCAGAGGTTCCTGAAAGAACCATGAGTCAGTTGAAGTACAGAGAATGGAATTTACTGGCCACCTCATCACTTCATGTTATTGCACTGAGACTATTGCACTGTTTTCTTCGAAAGCTATCAATGTCAAGTCTAGTCTGCACTATAACAATTCTAATTACATATTGTCTTGGTTAGTTAAACAAGCTCAAGGCTATTCAAACAATGATATTAAAGCTTGGATAAAACTTGAAGGTTGTGCTTGATTGAAAACACATTATTTTCTGGTGTGGTGAATGTCAAGGCCACAAATCAACATGGAGTGGGGGGCAAGCAGGAAGTGTCTATGAGGAAGAAAACAGGCCTTGAACTGTCTGTAGCTTGTGTTTAAGTATTGAGACAGGAACAAAACTGCAAACAAACCATAAGGGATCAAAGATGATCATGAACTTTGAGTGTACAGTATGACTTCAAGCCAACTGTGTGCATGGCTCAAAGTTCTCAATTCTGTTTTGAATAGCAGCCTTATTCTGCTCTCGGGATGAATGATGTTGGTTAAATTATTTGCCATGATAATGTCAATAATGTCAATTATTCAATTAGAGCTTAGTAAATGTGCACTTCCTGCGTCTCAGTTCTCTGAGACACAGGAAGAAACAGGGTGGGGTGCTGAGCCTCTTGGCCTGTCTCGCTCTCTTTCTGTCTGTCTGTCTCTCTGTGTGCGTCTGTGTGTGCGCGTGTGTGTGTGCGCGTGTGTGTGTTTTGTGTATGTGTGTGTGTGTGTCCACTCTCTCTCTCTCTAGCCCAAGGAACCACACATGGGACAAACACTAGTTAGGGAAGGGCTGTTTGGTCACCCCAATGAAATGACTCACTGCAGGGACAGGGATTAATTCCCTGTTTCTTACTCTTTCTCTCGCTCCATTTTCTTATGGTCTTTCTTTCTCACTCACTCTCACTCATTTTCATCTCACATATTGTCTCTGTCTGCCTCTCTCTTAGGGATGTCTTGCCATTCACTCTAAAGCTTCCTGAAGCCATCTCTGCAGCCAAGACACTAACAGACTTGGAGGAGGTGGCCAAGCTAGGAGCAGGTGAGTGTCCACTAGACTGATACTGTATGTTTGTACTGATAATGCATGTCTGAAGCATGAAGATTAAAAGTGTAGCCTCACTTTGTAGCTGGATGGTCATTGACTGCCTGCTAGTTGACTGTGGTGGCTTTAGAAAAGTATTGTTAGGACCTTAGGTCTAAGGTACATCTGTTATGTTTAAAACCAAGCAAATTGTCTTCCTCCGGCTGTTCTCGTAAATCACATTTAACCACATTCTCCAAGTTAAACTAGTAAAAGCCCAAAATGACATGGCTCCATGAGTCACCCATAGGAACAATGCCTCTCTGAGCCCCAAATCAGTGCTGCTCAGCTGGGCACATGATCAGGAGAGCACTGGGGCTCTGGAGCCCCTTAGTAGGCCTCACTGGGGTCTTAAACCTCAGTCATGAACCACTCTCTGTGCAATGTGCTCTCTGTGCCAAAGACGTAATGTCACTCTGCCTGGCTGCCTCTGAAAGAGTTGATATACAGTGTAGGCATATACTAGCCTCGGTGACACACTGATTTGATAACATACTTCCTTTGGTGTGGTTTCGAGTGATCTTCACACACAACAGGCCCACTGTGTAGCTTTTCCCTCTGAGGAACGTGAGCAGACTGCATTGAGACTTAAACAATGCTTGAGTTTGTGTGTGTGTGGACGTAGATGCGCGTCAGTGAAGTTTCAAATAGATTTTAATGACATTCATATAGGTGACCATGCTGGAGATGAGCTGTGTAGGTAGATAGGCTATGTCGCGTCACTGAAATGTGGCTTTGGACAGAACAAAAGACACCAGTGCTGAGTTCTGACGTCTGGATCGGTAACCGTACCTGTGACTGTGCACCTGTGTGTGGGTCTGATTCAATACAATGGGTCTGTGTCCATCTATGCTTCAGAGAAAGTCGACTCTTTATTTCATTCTGTCTGTGTCTATTCAACCCTTTGTCAGAAGATGAGCTTGATTGAAAAAGAAGTACACAGTAGCTGGACATACTAGCAGATGCTTGATAAAGAAGCTTTTTCAAGCAGCGAACCATTAGCAGACATTGCTGTCTTTCTTTACCAAGAGGCTGAACTTTGGCCAAGAATGAATTCACTTTATCTGTCATCATCTGCCTGAATTTCAGGTTTCCTCCCCTCATTGTCCTAAGCTCACCCTAGATTTTTACAGCTGCCAGTTTTAGACAAGGACATTTCCCTCATTAGGCCACACCCTCCCAGTGTCTCAGGGCAGTGTTCAGTACGAAAAAACGTACTGCAACGTTCAATTAAATGGAAACGGTGCTGTTCTGAACGACTAGGTGAAAAACAGGGAGCGGTTGGGTTGGGAAACACTCCGCTGCCCTTTAAATACCTCACTCATTGCTTCAAGCCACACCCCATCAAACGGAGCAAACGTACCTCAGTCTTTTCAAGAACATTGAAGAATGTTTTGGGGAAACATGTCGTTCAGTACAAACCATCAAGCAAATGGGTTGGGGTTATCTTTGTATGCATTTCTTTGATTGTTTTTAAACTTGTAACCCCCCTCTGAATAAAAAGTTGCTTACAAAGCTCAAGTGTCGCACAGGACTCGTTAGAAGGGACTGTGACAAAACCGCACAGAATGACTGGGGGAAATTAATTTAATGTAATTGTGATCTTCCTATGAATTTGGCTCTAGCAGTTGAACTGTTTGGGCTATTGGCAATTATGACCCCATGCCTGAAAGCTATGACTCTCAGGAACACAGAATGGCTGGGGAAAATGAATTGATATTCTGTTCTAAGAAAGATGAAATACAGAATGATTGCCTGATGATCTTTCTTCTGCTCTCCTGAACTTTCCAACTTCTAAGCATACTTCATTCAGACTGAAACATCTTTGTGTTATTTATAAGGCCAGATTCAAAAGTGTAATCAAATAATTACATTTGTTTCGGATACCTCCAAGTGTCCTAAAATAGTGTGATGGTCCATGTTATCACTATCTTAAAGGCCCAGTGCAGTCAAAAACGTGATTTTCCTGTGTAGCTCCTGTTTTGAGCACATCATTTGATCATATGCCGAGGGTATGAAACTAAATGTTTCAGGTCTAATGTCTCTATAATTGGTGTTTTGAGGGGACCAAATAAAATGTTAAAGGATAGCGTCCCTTTTTAGACCATTTTTCCATTTGCCCTGAAAGAAGTCTATGGGGCCAGGAGAGGCTGTCATCCACTGTTTTGGTTTGTTTCAAAACATAAGGAAAGGGGCAAGCTCACCTTGTTCAAAATTGCATGACCAAATCAACTCAAATACTTAGTTTGAAGTTAATTAGAGGTGAATTGGCCACACCATTTGAACATGGTGAGCTTGCCCCTTTCACTCCCATTGTTTTGGGGGGTTTTGGTTATTGTTGCGTAAAGTTAGCTCAACATGCCAGTGGCTTTTGAAACAAATCTGAACCATGTGAAAAAAGTGAAGATATCCTAGAGTCATAGAAACGTTAAATATTGTCTGACTAATTAAGTTTGAAGACGTTTGATATAGAGGAAGTCTTCATGATGACCATCAAAAGTTAAGTCTTTGTACTTAACGTTTGCTTTTTTTAAGAGTTGTTAATTTGGTTCAAGGTGCAACACAATATTGATTATTGAATTACTGTTGCTCTAGTTCGGTCTTTTATGAATCACTTAAACATGTTCTAAAAATAACTAGTTAGAAGGGCCGAGGGTCTAGTTAAATTGTGTAGAAATTGCAGTAAATTAGCGTTAGGTGGAGAAAATAAATTCTGGGGGAGTACCCCCTAACAGGTTTGCTCTCCCCCCACCTATAAAACCAAAGTTTCGCCCCAGAAAGTAACTGTGAAAAGGGCAAGAGCTGCCAAAATGGAAGAATAACAAAAACAGCAGAGAAAAATAATTATTGAAGGAGTGGAGTAGGAAAAACTTTGACGGAGAGCTGGCGAGCGAGGGAGTGGGAGAGAAACAGGGGGAGGAGAGAATGCTGTGTTGACAGTCCGCCATCACGCACTCATTAGCATGTGTGAGTCATAACACAGTCCGTGTGTGTGAGACATGACAGCGAGGCTTCAGACTGGATGGCAGTGTGCTCTAGAGCTCTCTCACACTAGTCAACTCAAATCAGAGCTGGTCTTTGTCTGCTGTAAGTCGATGTGAGAACAGTAAGTCAATGTTTCTCTGGTCTTACATTGTGATGTGACTTTGGCTGAGTCTGGTACGGCTTTGTGTCTTTTATTGTTCTAGAGTCTCTCTGAGTTTGCACTGTCTAGTACAGCTCTGTTGTATAAGCTCTTCAGTTGGACGTGTCTCTTCTAGCAATAGGTTAGCTCTGTCATATGCTGCTTTTCGACTGGAACACCAGTGTTACACTAGTGTATACACCCTTATCTTATACTAGGGAAATTTGTGTTTCTGTAGCTATGGCTGACAGTGAGAACTTGTGAAGAGCCGAATCAACAACCTCTGCATAATCAAAACAGTTGCTTTGTAAGAAGGTGTTAAAGTTCACAGTTAGCCTCTGTTATGTAAATGAAAGTTGAAAAGTACCAGTGGCCTGGCTTTGGCCCCAAGTAAGAGAAGGTCCGCCGGAGCCAATGTCCAGTGAGACTCGGGTGCTGGCCCGCATAGATGGAACAGAAAAGTCTGAGCCTTTTGGGTAAAACACTGGGGTAAATCCTGTATGGAAATGCCCAATAGTGTCATTATTTGGTAATGGCTTTGGTTGCTAAGTTGTTGGCTGTGTACAAACAGTAGTGACCAGCGCTGTTCTTTGTAAGTGTTCTATGGTTATATCATACTGATTGGAATGTTATTGTGTTGCTGTTATGTAGACTGGTATGGTTGTACTTAATTGCAACAATGTGCTAATATGCTTTTGTATTAATACTATGTAATGTAGGCATTGGCAAATTGGTATGATGACAGTAGCTTAATTGACTCGATGGTATAATGTTGATGTGTATTGGCATAGTTTTTCTCAGTTACTACATTGGTGTTATTATCAGGTTATTGTAGCCTCTGTTTTAATGTAGAACATCACTACGTTGATATTATATTACAGTATCATGCTATCCTTATGTTGCAAAGGAGTGTAATATCAGACTGACTGACTCCTGCAGCGTTTGACCAGTAATGTTATTGTGAGTTAGGGCAACATTGAAATAATGTTGGCGTAATATTTGCATGATGTTAATGTAATGTTAGTGTTATCTTACTAGTGCTGAGTGATTATGTTTTGAAACAACTACCGGTAATTGAGCATTTCATTCAGTTTTTTTCAGTGAGCTCAATGCCCACATTGCACAGTTTCTCTAGAGATCAATTATATCCAGCCCGAACTGTGCAATATAGTAGGGAGTTGTAGTTTCCAACAGGCAAATATTCTACACAGTTTAGCGCATAAAACGTGGTAATTAATTACAATGACCGTAATCTATTGTGCGCCTACTTGTCTGTGTTTCTTTTACGCCTGCTACGTTAGGTAAGTGTGTGGGGCAGACACGGAGAGGGAGGGAAGAGAGAGAAGAATGCGCGATTTAGGGGGATAGAGAGCAGTTGCTTCATGAGGTATCTCTACCTGAAAATACATGATCTAAGTGATTGCTATTTGGTATAAAAATATGCCTTATTTACTTTGAAGAACTACAAAATAGTGATTTTGTTAGACAGCATAGGCAGCAGCTCTATAGAGATGAGATGATGACTTGGAATGAAATAATAAAGTCATCAAATAAAACAAATGTAATATACACAAACAACTGAAATATTTTAGTAATTAAAGTAATGTGAATAAATGATGGTTAATAAGTGATAAGCAGTAATGGGCAGTCACTACCATCATGTGACTTTTATTAATTGTTTTATTCTGTGTTGTTACAGCATTCAACCCACATAATGTATAGTAGGCTTGTCAGGATACCAACATATTACAAACGACACGATACTAGGCCAAGTATCACGATACCGAGTAATATCACTTTGAATTTAACTTCACACTGTTCAGTGTATAATAGAATACTGCATAGAATGGCTGATTTGCTCTTATTTAAAAAGGCCTAACTGTGATTTGGCTGGAGAAATGGGAAGAAGGAATATACATACATTATGATCTGCATGTTATTATGCATGTATAAGGAAAAAACACTGCATAAAACCTTCTTTACTCTTCAGTTAACACAGACACAAACACACTCTCCCTTCCTCACACACTCTCTCGGTCTCCCTCACTCTCATACACACACACACACCACTTTCTCTCTCCCACAAACACACATACACACTGCTTCCAACTTTTAAATTACACAATGTATCAACATTGCTTGCTTTGCGCTGCTCCAATGTAGCAAATGTACAAATCTAACAACAGAAGACTAATCAGGGTCTGGGTCTGCATCCCCGCTTGCCATCAGTACTAAATTACATATTTCTAAAACTGACGGAGGTATAGACACACATGAAGGGCGGACAGAGAGAAGCAGGTGAGGGCTGTTAGGGGATGCGGCGCGTTGATTACATCTGCCACACGTGCGCATGAAAGTGAAGTGGATATTATTGGACATGTGCATATTAGAGACTAATGGCTGTAGCTTAAATTTAACTCCATTTATAAACAGAACTGACTTTATAAACATTTTATAACAGGCGCCAACGGGTTCTTTAGATTGGTAGGATTGAAAAAGTTGGTAGTATCATATGAAACGGTACTACGGTATTCTAAAATGTTGTTATCATGACGTTTTGGTACCGTTATATTACCGTGGTACAGGTATACTGTGCAACACTAATGCATAGTGCAGTTAATGTTTAAAAAACGAATAAATAAATAATCGAACCGAAGCCGAACTGACCTCAAAAAGCACTAATCGCTCAGCACTATATTTTACAGTAATGTTGCTGTTGTAGTGTCTGACTGTTCTGATCCTCTCTCTCTCCTGTCTCTGCCCTGCAGGCTTCTGGGACTCTGGGCGTTGCTGCAGGAGGAAGAGTTCTGTCTCCCGGTTGTCCGGAACAACCACCCAGGACCAATCACCCAGCCCCCTGGTCACCCGCACCCCATCCCAGCTTGAGTGTTCCCAGTCCAATGGGGCTCTCTGCTTCATCAACCCCCTCTTCCTGAAGGTTCACGACCCAGAGGGGGGAAACCACACTCCTCCGTCCTCCACCAGCCACTACAACAACCCCCACCACCTAAACAACAATAGTACTACAACAACTACAGCAACAACGGTACAAGTACAACAGCACTGTACCAGCAACCCAGAGCAACTTAACGACTGCACAAACAGCCCTCAACCCCTTAGCGAGAGCCCTCAGAATCTTAGCCCTGACAACAGCCCCCAGCATCATAACAACAGTGTGAGCCAGGCTAAGAGCATGTCCCGCCCCCCACCTCCTCGCCCCCCACCTCCCCACTGTGCTCCCCGTCGCCCTGCCCCCCCTCAACGCCAGCGCAGCATGCCTGAGAAGATATCCTGGATCAACCCCCTGAAAGAGAAGGAGAGGGTGGGAGAGAGGGAGAAAGGAGGAGAGAGGGAGAAGGGCAGTAGCCTTCTCTCCCGCCTGGGCTCCTCTCTCAGCATCAGCCCTTCCTCTCCTTTGCTCTTATCCTCCCCTCCTAAGAAGCTCAGCATCAGTGCCCCCATCTCTATCCCCCTCCCCCTCTCCTCCTCCCCAAGTAGGCCAAAACCCACGCCGCCAAGCGACGTTGACTGCCATCTTGCTCTCGATGACCAGACTATTGAGAACGCCATTTCTCTCAGTCTGGCTAAGCTGTCACTGAGAAACACCACCACCACCCCTGATGACAACACAGAGGGAAACAGTCCGTCCACTCAAGACCCAGCCCCCTCCTGTCGAGAGGAAGAAGGAGGAAGAGAAGGAGGAGGAAGAGAAGGAGGAGGAAGAGAAGGAGGAGGAAGAGAAGGAGGAGGAAGAGAAGGAGGAGGAAGAGGGGACAGTGTGCAGCGTCTGAGCGACATGAGCCTTTCCACCGAATCCTCTGCCGACTCACTAGACTTTTCCCAGGGCTTCTTCCCCCCTCTCCCGGAACCCAGCCCCCCCACCACCAACAACCTGGTCCTTCCCCCCCTCACCCACCCCTACAGCAGCATGGAGGAAGACAACGATGACGATGATGAAGACGAAGCAGACTTCGGCGGGAGCCTGGAGAGCGACCATGACCAAGACCAGGACCTGACCATCACCCCTCCCGGGCTGCGCACCAAACGGCGAGCCAGCGCCGGGGCCATGGTCATCCAGCGGGCCCTCAGGGGCCACCTCCGTAAGATGAGTGGGGTGTTCAACTCTCTGATGACCCCAGAGAAACGGGCCATACGGAGAGTCCTGGAGCTGTCCAGGGATAAGGGCTCGTACTTCGGCTGCCTGGTGCAGGACTACATGAGCTTCCTGCAGGAGGGAGGGGGCAGCCATGCCTGGCAGTGCCACGCGTCAGGACTGGAGTTGCTGCAGACGCTACGCCAGTTCATCACCCAGATGAAGAGCTACCTGCGGCAGAGCTCTGAGCTAGAGCCCCCCATCGAGTCACTCATCCCAGAGGACCAGATCGGTAAGTAGCAAGGGGTGTGTGGGTTTTTACTGTTGTCCAATAGTTGCACAAATGTTGTATATCACACCAGTCAATGTTGCTTAACCGTTGCATGAAAGTTGATAGTTTGCTAGATGTCACAGTAAAAATGTACATTGAACTTGTTTCGAAGTTGTTCCATCGCCATCTCTAAAATGTTAATTATTTGACATTGAGACAACCAAACAGCTAAAGAAAATCATAATAAACCGTCATATCTGAAAATATACCAACTGGACAACACTGTGTATGCCTATAGCCAGGGCGAGAGCAGCTCAGTATGCCAGTCTGTGTGTGAGCTGGCTGTTTTGGTCAGGATGATTACAGTTCTTTGGAATGTATCTCAGAAAAGGGGAAGTGGTGGGTGAAGCAGCAGGAGTTGAGTTACAGACAGTTAACCAATGGGATATAAGAGATTGGGATACTTTATTGCTAGTGAGACAACAGTGCTAGCATTTAGATACAGTGTTATTCTTGGCCTTTATGACGCACTGGCATGTCAAACACCTGCCCAGGGGAGGGGCTTAGAAAAAGGCCAAGGTATTCATGTCTGGGAATTATTGGATTAGAAACTGGCCCAAATGTAAACAGTGAAAACAATGCATGTTTCAGCCAGAGAGGATGCTTCTGTGAACTAGCTAACGTGAACTAACCTGCCTGTCTGTCTGCCTGTCTGCCTGTCTCCCTGCCTGTCTGTCTGTCTGTCTGTCTGTCTGTCTGTCTGTCTGTACATAACAGAACATAACTCAGGTTCACGTGCAAGCTCTGCAGGGAGGATGTTTTGAGTGAGATTGCGGGCAAGGGACGTTGTTTTGGTGGGGAGGTGTGTATTTGAAGCAGAAGGGGCACTCAGTACCTACTGTACATTTGTGTGAGTTTGTGTCTGTTAAGTGGCCTAATGGTAAATAAGTGTGTGACCTTGGCTGATGAAAAGTCCCTCCTAAGGGGGGATGGCTCCACTGTGTCTCTCTCTCTATCTGTCCCCTCTGTCACACCATACCACACCACTCAACACAGATTGAACTCCAACTTCTCTAAAGACTACCTACTCATCCAGCATTTACTCATCTAGCATGTGCTGTAAGCCATACAGTGAGTTTAACAACTGCATTAGTACACTACAGAATTGCATGCTAACCCTCCACAGTTACATGTTATTACATTCCACAGTGCTAATGACCAGAGTTATGAGCAGTACCAGTATGTAAGGAAGTACAGTAGCGGGAGGCACATTGTTTAAAGACCAGTCCAGCGAAACTTGAAAAGCACTTGCATGCAAAAACAAAGGCCACAGGGGATTTTGTATGCGGGAGTGTGTGTTTACATGTGTGCTCCCACTGGGAAACGTGTTAAGCCCAACCACAGGCCTGAGGTCTTGGAATGCTGGCACTGCATTCCAGGGCTTTTAACCACTTTAACAGAACTACAAGGTACCAGGCTTGCTCTACCACAGTCCCCATGTCCAGAACAGAGGCTGGTAAACGCACAGTATTAAATAGAGCCATGACTACATGGAACTCTCTGCCACACCAGGTAACTCAAGCTAGCAATAAAAACAGTTTAAAAAAAAAAAACGATAAAATAACACCTTACTGCACAAAGAGGACTGTGAAGAGACACAGACATTTTATAAATCTTGAATTGTAATTTGCAATGTACTATGTATTAGACCTACACTACCAGTCAAAGGTTTGACAACACCTACTCATTCAAGGGTTTTTCTTTATTTTTACTATTTTTTACATTGTAGAATAATAGTGAAGACATCAAAACTATGAAATAACACATGAGGTAGTCACCTGGAATGCATTTCAATTAACAGGTGTGCCTTCTTAAAAGTTAATTTGTGGAATTTCTTTCCTTCTTAATGCGTTTGAGCCAAACAGTTGTGTTGTGACAAGGTAGGGGGGGTATACAGAAGATAGCCCTATTTGGTAAAATACAAGTCCATATTATGGCAAGAACAGCTCAAATAAGCAAAGAGAAACGACAGTCCATCATTACTTTAAGACATGAAGGTCAGTCAATACGGAAAATATCAAGAATTTTGAACGTTTCTTCAAGTGCAGTTGCGAAAACCATCAAGCACAATGATGAAACTGGCTCTCATGAGGACCGCCACAGGAATGGAAGACCCAGAGTTACCTCTGCTGCAGAGGATAAGTTCATTAGAGTTACCAGCCTCAGAAATTGCAGCCCAAATAAATGCTTCACAGAGTTCAAGTAACAGACACATCTCAACATCAACTGTGTGAATCAGGCCTTCATGGTCGAATTGCTGCAAAGAAACCACTACTAAAGGACACCAATAATAAGAAGAGACCTGCTTGGGCCAAGAAACATGAGCAATGGACATTAGACCGTCTGGAGTCCAAATTTGAGATTTTTGGTTCCAACCGCCATGTCTTTGTGAGACGCGGTGTAGGTGAACGGATGATCTCTGTATGTGTAGTTTCCACCGAAAAGCATGGAGGAGGAGGTGTTATGGTGTGGGGGTGCTTTGCTGGTGACACTGTCTGTGATTTATTTAGAATTCAAGGCACACTTAACCAGCATGGCTACCACAGCATTCTGCAGCGATACACCATCCCATCTGGTTTGGGCTTAGTGGGACTATCATTTGTTTTTCAACAGGACAATGACCCAACACACCTCCAGGCTGTGTAAGGGCTATTTTACCAAGAAGGAGAGTGATGGAGTGCTGCATCAGATGACCTGGTCGCCACAATCCCCCGAACTCAACCCAATTGAGATGGTTTGGGATGAGTCGGACCGCACAGTGAAGGAAAAGCAGCCAACAATTGCTCAGAATATATGGGAACTCCTTCAAGACTGTTGGAAAAGCATTCCAGGTGAAGCTGGTTGAGAGAATGCCACGAGTGTGCAAAGCTGTCATCAAGGCAAAGGTTGGCTATTTGAAGAATCTCAAATATAAAATATATTTTGATTTGTTTAACACTTTTGATTGGTTACAATTAACATCCCATCATGCTTAGGGTCATGTATAAAAATGCCCAGTTGCTATTATTTTGGATAACATGAGTAGAAGTGACTTTGAAAGAGGGGTCTCAAAGGAGAATAAGGGGTTTAAAGGGTGTGTGTGTGTGTCTCAGTCACCGGATGTCAACCTAATTTATGCTCTTCTAAACGCTCTGTCAATCCGACAGCTATTGTCAGCAGTAATCATGTGCCTATGAACCTGAGTTATACTGTTAGCACTGAGACATTTTGCCTTAGTAGGAAGCCCACTGTGAGCAGTTCACACTGCACTATCAGCTCAAATATAAATATCGCTGTCATGTCTACTTCTAAGCCTCCCAGTAAAGCAATAAAAATGATCAAGAAACCCAGTAAAGCGCTAAAAATAGCCCACATTAACATATGTAGCTTAAGACGGGGTTTCCCAAACTTGGTCCTGGGGCCTCTCCTGAGTGCGCGTTTGGTTTTTGCCCTAGCACTACACAGCTGATTCAAATAATCAAAGCTTGATGATGAGTTGGTTATTTGAATCAGCTGTGTAGTGCTAGGGCAAAAACCAAACGTGCCCTAGCACTACACACGAGTTTGGGAAACCCTGTCCTAAGAAACAAGGTTAATGAAATCACTAACTTTTTTTGGGGGGGGGGGGGTAGATAAGCTTAATATTGCAGATAGATTGTAACTTCCATCAATGTAATTGTCTGCATCACTTCCAATCCCCCATTTTATATATATATATATACTCCCCTTTATTACTTTTCAACCCTGCCATCCTTTCGCTACTTGGGGTAAATTAGTGAACAACAATGCCCAGGCCTCTACTTCCAGCCTATACTTACTATCTACACCTTATGGACACAGTCAAGTTTACAATAATTATATTTTATTTGTTTTTGCTCCTGAACCTCTTCTACTCTCAACCTCTCCGATCATTCTCATGATGTCCATCCGGTTTGCTTCTACAGTGGGGAAAAAAAGTATTTAGTCAGCCACCAATTGTGCAAGTTCTCCCACTTAAAAAGATGAGAGAGGCCTGTAATTTTCATCATAGGTACACGTCAACTATGACAGACAAAATGACAAAAAAAATCCAGAAAATCACATTGTAGGATTTTTAATGAATTTATTTGCAAATTATGGTGGAAAATAAGTATTTGGTCAATAACAAAAGTTTCTCATACTTTGTTATATACCCTTTGTTGGCAATGACACAGGTCAAACGTTTTCTGTAGTCTTCACAAGGTTTTCACACACTGTTGCTGGTATTTTGGCCCATTCCTCCATGCAGATCTCCTCTAGAGCAGTGATGTTTTGGGGCTGTCGCTGGGCAACACGGACTTTCAACTCCCTCCAAAGATTTTCTATGGGGTTGAGATCTGGAGACTGGCTAGGCCACTCCAGGACCTTGAAATGCTTCTTACGAAGCCACTCCTTCGTTGCCCGGGCGGTGTGTTTGGGATCATTGTCATGCTGAAAGACCCAGCCACGTTTCATCTTCAATGCCCTTGCTGATGGAAGGAGGTTTTCACTCAAAATCTCACGATACATGGCCCCATTCATTCTTTCCTTTACACGGATCAGTCGTCCTGGTCCCTTTGCAGAAAAAAGGCCCCAAAGCATGATGTTTCCACCCCCATGCTTCACAGTAGGTATGGTGTTATTTGGATGCAACTCAGCATTCTTTGTCCTCCAAACACAACGAGTTGAGTTTTTACCAAAAAGTTATATTTTGGTTTCATCTGACCATATGACATTCTCCCAATCCTCTTCTGGATCATCCAAATGCACTCTAGCAAACTTCAGACGGGCCTGGACATGTACTGGCTTAAGCAGGGGGACACGTCTAGCACTGCAGGATTTTAGTCCCTGGTGGCGTAGTGTGTTACTGATGGTAGGCTTTGTTACTTTGGTCCCAGCTCTCTGCAGGTCATTCACTAGGTCCCCCCGTGTGGTTCTGGGATTTTTGCTCACCGTTCTTGTGATCATTTTGACCCCACGGGGTGAGATCTTG